TTTAGAATCTTATAAAATCTAATCAAATATTCTAAGAATATTTCTAAAATCTCTTGTTGGATATCCATAACATCACTTTTTTTTCTAATTCCGAGTTCTATGAAGAGCATTGGTTTCATATCTACTTTTTTCTATTATATACAACATCTTAGCAATAGCTTCATAGAAAAGTCATTCTAAAATAGATTTAGATTTTTGAGGAAATTGTTGATGAAACTCTTGTATCTTTTGTGGCATATTAACTAGATATTTTGCTAGTTTTCACATACCCTCATTGATATTGTAGTTGCATCAATGAATAAAATATTCAAACTTACATCTTTTTTATCAAGAATCAAGGATCTTTTCTATTTCATATTCCACATAATTATCTATTTCAATACAAGACAATAATGGTTGTATTTTTCTTGAAATAGTTGATTCTGAATAAGCCTCTAAAAAGAAAACATGAAAGACTGGATGTACCTTCATAGATGTGGATAGTTCCAACTAATAAGCTACTAGATTGATTTGCTTTTAAATACAAAATGGTCTCAATCTTTAGTAGTCCAATTTATCGTAAAGTTGATTGGTCTTGATATTTCATTGAAGAAGCCATACTTTATCTCAGACTTAAAAAGTAAAGAATTCTTTATTAAATTTGTCTGAAGATACTTTGTAAGAATCTTGAATTGCTTATAAATGGAGCTTCAAAGTTGTCTAGAGTTGGGACAATTATTTTGGAAGATTTTTAATTTTTGGATTTTTATCTTTTAATATATCTAACAAATCAAGCTTCAAATGGTAAGCATAATTAGAGTAAAATGGTATTTATTGAGTCGAAGCATGAAGAATATTATTATAAGCGAATGCTATTAAAAATAAATATGAAGTCCATTTATCTTACTAATAGTTGATGGTACATTACAAATACTACTCTAAAACTTGATTGACTTCTTTTATTTAACCATTTATTTGACAATAAAAAGTAGAGAATTATTTGATATTTATCTTCAATATCTTAAAAAAGGATTTCCAAAATTTTGATATATATTGAGATCTTCAATAAAAAATGATGTCATCAAATAGGCCATGATATCGATATATATTATCAAGAAAGAACCTTGTCATTTCATCTCAAAAAATTATCTTTTTGTATTAGAAAAAATGTGCCATTTTTGTGAATAGATCTACAATAACATAGATAGCATCAAATGTAGCTAATGGTAGTAGATGAATAATGAAATCCATTGATATTGAAGACCATGGTTGCTTTAAGATTGGTAGTAGTTACAAAAGTCCATAAGGACAATGTTGAAAATTCTTGGATCTTAAATAATTGTTATACGAGAGAACAAAGTCTTTTACAATCTTCTTGTCAAAATAACTAGATATGTATATTGAGAAAGAAACTGGAATGGCTATTGCCAAAAGCCAAGAAAACTAGAGACCCTTGAAACTAGATTGGAAGCAAGAAAAGAATTGATAAGAATGAAGAAGACTTCACTCTTGTCTCTATATATACTATCTAACTAGGGGCTATGTGGCAATATTCTATAGGATCTCTAATATGTATTGACTTTGTAGGGCACATGCTTTGACATATAAGGTAAGTTTTTCTACATGTGGGCGACATAGTTAGCTTGGTCTTCAAGCTAACAACATGTGTGGCACATGGCCAACTTGTTGACCACATTTCTAATCCAAAAAATCAATTAAAGACACCTATAAAGTCAAAGCAACGTCTATGAAGCTTCTAGAAAGCTTCTATAGCAAATATTATAGAATTAACTTACTTTTATCTATTTTTCCTTATTTTTACCTATTTATATATGTAATTACTAGCTTACATGCATATGTCCAAAACACTTCTATATTTGAAGCTACTAAAAATCTTAAGAAATAAGCTCTAATATTTTATTAAATCCAAAATGTCTTGCAATTGAAAAATCATGAAAAGATTGAAGAACACAAAGTCGTTTTAGTCTTTCTAGAATAGTCACATATAAAATATATAAATGATCTTCAAAATACAAAAGATCTTCTATAAACTTAAACTTGTCATTATCAGAGTGTTGCTTGATATTAGAAATTAATGAATTCTTAGTTGTCGCTACACAAATTTCTTTAAAAAAACTTAAATCAACAAGTATAATTATAGAAGTAGCACAAATACAAAAGTATTTTGGCTTCAAAAGAATGATATATTATTGATCGAATGCTGCTTCTCTGACCTTTGGAATAAGATATGATCTCTTTGATAAAGAGTTTGATAGTCCTCATTTCTTTCTCGATCAATATATATATTTACAAAATCAAAACAAGATAATGTCATTTTCCAATAAGCTTGGTGGTGATTCAAAACCCAAGTTGACCTAAAACATTCTAAATTTTTGTGATTTATATATACAATCATAGGATATATAGTACTTTCAAATAAGTAATGCTATTTTTAGAAAGAATCTATAATTACAATAAGCTCTTTATCATGAATCTTATAATTAATCTTTACAATTGAAAACTTTCTAGAATAGAATGCAATTGGGTGGAGCTTTCCATCCTTTTTCATTTGTGCTAATACAACTCCTAATGTAAAGTTAGAAGCATCAATTTCTAAATAGAGGGCCTTTATAAAATCTAGATATAGTAAGATTGGAGTTGTTTTAAAAGTTACCTTCAAATCTTGAAAAGCCTATTGTACTTGAAATCTCTATTCCAACTTATTTTTAGATGTTAATCAAGTGAGAGGAACAACAACTTGGGAGTAATTCTTCATAAATAATTGATAAAAATTAGCAAATCCAAAGAAACATTATATATTCACTATTCTCTTTAGAGTTGTCTACTCTATTATTCCTTGAACTTTCTTTGGATCCATCAACAGGCCTTCATTGAATATAATATATCTAAGAAATTCTACTTTTGGTTGATAAAATACAAATTTCTCTAATTTGGCATATAATCCTATATCTTATAATTTTTGTAAGACTAATCTCATGTATTTAAAATACTAAAATATTATTGTTTGATAAAGACATCAAAGTAATGTCACCAATGCAAATTGTTTCATTTGGTAAAGACATCAATGTAAAGTTATCAATGCAAATTGTATCATTGCTACTTGTGAAACAATGAAAGACTTAATCCTAGGGAACAATATATGGTTTTATCTTGGTTTTGTCATAATTTTATCTTCGTCATGATTGATTAGATCTAATTAGCCTTATTTTGTAGGTAGAAGTGAACACAATTAGGTTCACCAATGGGCATCATGCCACTACATCTTGTGGATTGTTGAAAGACTCTACTTATGTTCTCACAGACTTTTCCGATTTGGTTGGAGCTTGAATTAGAACCAAAACTAGTTTTGCTCAATAAAAGGATTCTAACTCAAAAGTATGAGGATTACTATCATGAAGTTATTACTATGATATATGCATCAATTCTCATGAAACAAGAGATTACAATATATTTGAATTATTACAAGTCATTTTTAAGCCCATTTAAAATTTTTTATGCATGTATCATGTTTATCAGTTTACTATGATGGAGTTTTGAGGTTAAGAATTAACAAATTTACATTCAAATGATCTCTTTATTCTAAGTGCTTAGTGCATTCTTAGTATTATACAACACGATGAGAGTGATTTTTTTTGTATTCAATCCATTGGATATTTTTATAATTTTCTTCTAGAATCAATTTTAGTTATTTTGGACTAAAAAGAAAAGAAAAGAAAAGAAAAGAAAATTAAAATACTAAATAAAAAATGATTGTAATTGTAATTATAGAAAAAATAATAAAAAAATATATAGCAAAATAAAATAAATAAATGACAAAATAGAACATAAGTTTTAGAAATTATATAATAAACAAAATATAATTGATAAAAATTGATAAGATAGGATTTAATGAGTGATTAGTAAAAAAAAAAGATTAATTAAAATTGACTAAATAACTTATAATTAACTAAAATCAATTAAAATAGCTAAAATAAATTAATATAAGCTTATGAAATTTAAAAATACTTCGGTAATTAAATTAACTAAGTAAAATTAAAGATAAATAAAAGTATTATTAACTATTAGTATAAGATGAATAAAATAATAATAATAACAAGGATAATAATAAGTTATACAAAGTAGATTGAAATGAATTGAGATTACTATGATAGGTTGTTAGGTCAATTAGATCATTTAGTATTGAAGATTCGGATTAATAATTAAAATAAGTAAGATTAATTATTTATGTTAATTTAATTAAGATAAAATTAGGACCATTAAGTAACCATTGTAACAATTAATAGATTAATAATCAGGGTTAGTACATGCTGCCAATTTTTAGGGTAAGAGATTAAGGTTTAGTAGTTAGGGTTATTGACAGGACCTATTTAGAAAAATCTAATCACCTACAACTCACCTTAATTAGATCTAGAAGTATTAAAACATAATCCTACATCTTAGAGCTATTTTTTTAGCTCACACTTATATATCCTATAATCTCTCTAAGAACTGTCGCAAGAGTGGAAATTATTACATTTTTTTTCATCTGATAACTCGAGTCTTGAAAAGAGTGTATCATGGTCATAATAAATTGGTATGTCCGATTGATTTTTCAATCAGTCTGAATTGAGGGTGCCGGCTCAAGTTTGAAAAAGTGGGCAATTGTGAACTCTGATTTTCCATGCCTGTACAACGACTGCAAAATTGGTCGCTCGTTGATTAGACAAAGGCAAAATCATATCTGTTTTGGGTTGTTCAGAGAAGTGAAGATCCATCATACCTCCTGTCATGTAAGTCGACGCGTTGGGTTGTAAAATCAAGCGCATCGACGGCCCAACCTGTCAGTCGCTGCCAGGTTGCACATGGAAACAGGCTCTAAGGCTGCCGGTTGGCTCTCCAAATTGTGGACTCAAGTTTGAAAAAGTAAGCCATTCTAGACACTGATTTTTCACACCTGTACAACGAGCGACGCAAAATTGTCGATAAGACTGAAAAGGTCATGTTTTGCTATAATGTAGGCGACCTTGAACAACGATCAAGAGGCTCCAAAGCCTGCCACTTCCTTCACACCGTGCTAAAGCGACTTGGTCCGTGCTGCCCCGCTCTGCTACTAGTACTACCCCATGAGGCGCCAGACTTGCTCATGACTCCCAATTCTTAGCCGAAGCAACAGTAGTACTCAGTATTCCCTGTACAAGCGTTACTCGCAGGATGAGCCTCGTGAGGATGTGAAGACGAGATTTGATAGTACTGGTCTGCTAATCTCCATTTGCTAGGAGTTGTTATACATTTTTTCCGAGCTTTAAGTCAATTAGTGGTTACAGGTAGATTCGTTCGATTGCTTGCAATTGGTTTTAAACTTAACAGTCTCAGCGCTGTAATTGATATAGCGCCTTTGCAGTGTGATGCGATTCAAAACTCGAGTTGCTACAGGTGAGACTTAACCAACCTTTAAGTGTCATCTCAGCAACTCTGGGATGTGAAATCATGTTCCGATGCAAGAAATGAGCGGGGAAAATGGTCGCTGACTGATGGTGAGCTCACCTTCTTGTGTTGGATGATCGGTTCAGATTTGGTGATCTTCTTTGTGGGAGAGTCAGATTGCAAGAGTCAAAGATGACTTGCAAGCCACAGTTGCGAGCTTAGGCAAACTGACTTGCTATTAACACTGCTTTTCAAAGGCCGAGTCTTTTGGCTCACTTCAGATTCTTTGCAGGCAAGGCTTTAGACTCTACTTGGTTTGGAGTTAGCAGCGAGTGTAGCAACGTAATATTTGCGTGACGTGACAATTGCCTTGTTTCTGGGTTAACACAGCTATTACTAGAAACCATATTGTTACAGTGACCTCAACTTATGGAGTTTATGGAATATGGGGACGTTGCCAAGTTTTTTTATTCTGTTATTTGTTGGACAGCCATGGCATATCTACGTGCTTGAAATATCTGTCTGTGAATACATGTTCGCGTTGTTAGATGTCATTTTAAACCTAGGATCTCTAATTGATTCAGCTCATATGTTTTTATTATTATTTTTAGGTTTGCAGCTGTTTGGAAAAATAAGATAGCACGGCCAACTTGTCCAGAAAAATGGAAGTTTTTGGTGGACTAGTGTTTCCAATGGAACTGGGATTTCATTGATCCAAACTGTAGTATAAGGGCAAAAGAAAACTTTTTGTGGAACTTTCAGAGGCTCTACATTAAAAATGCATGAAGATTTTATGGATATAGATTATATGAGTTAGGTGATTTGAATGCGAGATTATGGAGAATAATTGCACGTTACCAACCTACCCAGTCCTTCCATTGGTGAAGGAAGTAGTGACTTGCGATTGTTTCCCATAACCCTACTTGCTTTTGAGTTATTGTGCATTATTTTAGTACAAGCCACTTTGAGCCCTTGATCCTATTTAGGATGGAGTTCAAAGAGGCTGTTTAAGATTCTGGTCACTAAGAAAGACTGCAATACTTTAGTTAACATGCTTGAAAGCACCTAATAATTGATGCTTTGTTATGCTTGATGGAAGATGAATGGTACTTCAGGAAGAGTTTGCAGTTTCTAGCACTCTAAATTCCAATCCTTTCGTCTTATCTGATTAGGTATTGGCTTAATGGCAAGAATTGGCTGTGTGGAGATCATGGCTGTATGGAGATCATGCATCAACAATTGTATGCAAAGCAGGTTATTTAGTTGGTGGAAACCCAATTTCAACAGTATTGAGCTGGTAGGCTCAAATGGTCTACTTAACCTCTGCAAGGAAACAATAGCCAAAACGCTCACTAGATCAAGTGAAAAACATTTCATGAACAAGCACCAATGTGTCTTGCTATTCCAAAGACTTTCAGAGACACATGATACTTTGACAAAAGTTCAACAGTCAATATCCTTTGATCTTGATGAAAAACTGTTTCTTGTGCTTCAAGAGCTTCTCCAAGTTCTCCAGGATGTTGAGAGGGTCATCCAATCCAGCTACGTCATCACTTCAGAATGGCTGAGAGCAGCTATTGAACAAAGTGATATGAAAGAGACCTTTTCAAAACTCATATATGAAATGCAATGGCATACAGATGTCCTTCAAAGCATCTGTATGGACTGTATTAGAATCTCCACCATCACATTTGAACTAGCATGGTGCTTTGGTCAGTTAAGTGTGAGGGATGAGTTTGCTTTATTAGCAGCCAATAAAGAAGATGAGATAGCTCTGAAAAACAGTTTCACATCTTTGAGGTTACAGAAATCGATTGAGAGAGATTTTAGAAATCAATTGCTGAAGAAGATGGAAGCCCTAGAAGATCAGCTTGCATCACCACTTGGTGGTTCACATCAGCTACTTGAAAATGAAGATCAACACAAGGAGCAATCAACAATTATGTGCAAGGATTCAAATGAAATCAACTCGGTTACTTCATCCTTAAATTTATTTTTTTTAAGTCCTCAAGACCTGCTCAATTGTCTCAGTGGAGAATTAGTTGGTTTGGGTGCCAGTGGACGTGTGCAAAGGATAAATCTTCTGGGAAGCACCTTCACAATGAAGATTTTTGAGCAGAAGAATACAACATCCTTTGATCAGGAAATGGCAGCTATGCAAAAATTGGGGCATCATCCTCATGTTGTGCACCTCTTGTGCTATTCTAAAACAGACGACAAGTGCTTCTTAATCATGGAAAAGATGGACATGGATCTTTCTCAATTTTTGCAGGAGAAGAAAGTAAAAGGCAATAAACTTTCAGTTGTGGAGGCTATTGTGCTGATGCTCAACATTGCTGAAGGCATTAGGTACATTCACAGCAAGCAAATGGCACATTGTGATCTTAAACCAAGGAATGTCCTTGTGAATGTTGAAGTTGATCCCCTAAGCAAACTGTTGAAAGCTTGTGCAGTGAAGATTACTGATTTTGGTTTGACCAAAACAAAAAATGTTGGCAAAACATATACAGACCAAACTTGGGACACAGACACCCTATGGTATGTGGCTCCAGAGGTTGCAAAAGGAAAGGACAATAGGAGTAAAAGAGTGAAGTTTAATCTAATGAAAGCTGATGCCTACAGCTTTGGTATCTTATGTTCTGAGATTCTGTCTGGGGAGAAAATGTCTGAAGACCAACCGGCAATTGATTTGAAGAAGAAAGTGAAGGCTAGTGATAGTCCAGAGTCTAGACCAGATCTTTCAAAGGTATCATTTCCTCCATTGTTGGAGTCTCTAATTAGGAGATGTTGGGCTGAAAATTCCCGTGTCCGGCCAAAGTTTGACAGGATCTGTGAAGAACTGAGGTTCATCAAAGGGCTACTCCTACGAGGTGAGTTGTTTGCATGCAAGATTTTCTTTTACATCACTGGAGCCTGTCCAATTTTTTACCTTACTTGAGTGCAGGTTTTGAATATTTCAATTTTGATTGCTTGATATCAATTTTACTCCCATTTTTTTGGCATTATGATTCTTAGGTGATCACAAGATACTCGAGAGTGATGACAATTGGGAAGAACTTGGATCCAAGATCAAGGGGGCAAAGGTATGCAAATGTTCATTTTGAAAATTGAACTGCCTCAAATTTCCAACACAGTATATGATACATGAATCCAACCAACATTTGCACATCTGAATGTGTTGCTTCACAAGTTATGTCAACATGAAAAACTTTGTGATTGAATTATGTAAGGTCAGTAATCAAGTTTATGAGTTATTGCAACTTGAATCTTGTGTAAAATTTGAGCTCTAAATTCTTAAGATTTCCTTGGGCTTATGTATAACATTGCACTGTAAATATCATTTGAACATACATTTAGTTAGATATACTACTTTCATGTAAAAATTGTAAGATTTTTTGTTTTTACAATAGTTTTGTTATTGGTTTAGAAAAATTGTAGACAGACAATCAAACCTTTTGGTTGAAAAGAATTTCTTAAACCCTTACTGATTGAATAAATATGTACTAAGAGTAAGGATGGGTTTGTGGTACACCAATGAGACAAAACAGCATCAAATATCATGCAGACATTGCATTAGTGGTAATTTTGAAGAAGGTGAAAAATCTTCAAATGTGGCTGCATCAATGAAAGGTGTAAGACAAGGACCATGGGGACGTCATGAACCAAATAAAAAAACAGGTCTCTTTGATCATGTGGCTGCTTCTATTAAATGGATTAGGTTGAAATACCAACAAAATCCACCAGGAATTGGATTATTAGAGGTGGGATATCTTGAACTGGATGGAGAAGAGTATGTGGAGAAATACTCAAGTGATATCATTGGAACCACCTACTGCAAGGTAACTTCTCTTTACATCCTTACTAAGTAGTATTATCAATTTCAAATGCTGCCATTTACCTTGTTATGCAGAAACAATTTTCATTCTTTGGGTATGGTTTTGCTAAAGATTGTAATGGCTACTGTTTGTACAACTTCAGATTGATTTCAAGCCTGATGAATACATAAAACAAGTTACTGGATCAGTGGCTCGGCATGAGGTTACAGTAGGAGATGATAAAGTTGGTCTCATTTGTGTGTCATCCCTTACTATACATACAAATATCAAAACTTATGGTCCATTTGGTGATGATACCATGGGTACTCAATTCAAAAGTGGTATTGGAGAAGTGATTGGATTTTTCGGAGCAAGCGGTGTTCTTCTTGATAAATTAGGAGTTTGGATAATTCCTAATGATCAAGAAGATGGTGATCCAAGTCATCTTATAGAACAATCATAGATTACAAGGTGAAGTTCTTAGTTTTATTTAACAAACATAAATTTGATTTAAGTGCTTAGTTTTGTTTCTTTTATCACATCATAGATAGTTTAACAAGTTTGTTGTATTAACTTTCTAATTATTTTACTTTTTTTTGTTACTTATTCTTACAAAATATTTTAATTAAACTAGGATAAGATATGTTCTAATTTTTTATTCTTGGTGGATTTTGTTAGAAACTTGAATTTTCATTAAATATTTAGACCTTGTGGTGTATTCTATAATTATATCTTTCTTTTTATTTATTTAATATAAATATAGAAAATATTGCATTTATTTGATATTATCTTTTAACAATGTAAGAATAAATAATATTAGTTTTGATTTGATTAAATAAAAATATTTCTTTATAGAAAATAAATATAAATAAAGTCAAGTTTAAGATAATAATAAGTTATTATTCAATAAAATTACATACTAAATAATTAATTTTATATATATATATATATATATATATATAATATTAATATATTTTTTATATTAATGCTTATAATTAATAATAAAAATAATGATCATAACTAAATAGAATTAGGTTTAGGATTTAGGTTTGAATTTTCAAATTTATTCTAAATTTAGAATATTTATTCCTTAGAATTTATACGATTGCTATTCTTGATAATATTGTCATATTATATGAAATCTTGCTTAAAAATACACCAAGCTCCTAGTTGTAGAAGATAAGTTGAAATGCAAAAATAATCCTATTATGTCTAATAGAATCTTAAATAACCTTTGGTGGATCTTAATAATCTTGATTGAACTTTGACTAATCCAAAATAAACTTAAAAGTAGTTATAAAAAAAATACAAAGAATTTCCAAACTAATTCCAAACAAAAATAATAAGAAATCTTAAAAAAATATAAAAATAAACCTTTAAAGAAATAACAATAATCTTAAAGAAATACTAGAAATAAAAAATATTAAAGAAACAATAAAGAATTTTAAAGAAATTCTAAAAATAAAAATCTTAATGTAACTCTAATTAAAATCCCAATTGAATCTTAATCAAACTCTAGGTCAAATCTTAGATCAAATCTCAATTGAAATCCTAATTGAACCTTAACCGAATTCTAGATTAGATCCTAATGAAATCTTAATGAAATCTTAAATCCTAAAAAAACCTTGAACAAGTTTTAAATCAAATTCTAAGCAATCTTAGACCAAATCTGAAACCAAATCCTAATCAAATCCTAAATCTTAAACAACTCTCAACAAACCTTATAGCAAATGAAATCTCAACAATCAATAATCAAACCTTTAATATAAACTCAAAATTTGCACATTTTTTAATGTCTTAGTAAAAAATAAGCACAAAAAAGATCAAATCAATTTTACTTACTAATTGAGAGAAATGCAAGATAATCCAATTGGGTATTAAATGGCTTTTTACTCGAATCTGAATATTAAACTTCCAATGTCAATATTTCCTTCTTGAACCATTGAATTGCTTCTAAATTTCAATTAAAATATTGGAAATTGAGTCTAATATCTACACAAAAAAAAATTTACTTCAATTTAATTGACAAATTGCTAAAGATCTTAGAAATACTCACTAACCTTCAAACTCCAATTTCTAAGACCTTGATCCATAAGAACCTTCATATACTTTGATCTAATCCTTTGATTGTCTTCAAAAATTTTACACATATTTACAACTATTACATAAATACATTGTCTAAAATTCACTTGTATATATACCAAAAACTAAAGAAATCCTCAATTTTATAAACATATTTTTATTTCTCAAAATCTAAATCAACTAAGAACATTACTAACTTTAAAAACTCCTCCAAAACTCAATATTGACTCAATTGATATAAAACCAATGCCTAAAAATCTCTCCTCAAGTTTTCTCTTAAATTTTTTTTTGATCTACTAAAGGAACTTGGATTCACTATAGGTGCATGGTTTTGTGACTCAGGGTCTGATTTTGACCCAGTGTCATGGATATACATATGTATTCTAATAATTACCTATATGATAAGGTAGAAGTAAATAAATGTAGATTAATTTCATAAAGTCTTCTAAAAAAGCTTCTTAGAAGCTTTATAGACACAATTTTGACTTAAGATGCGTTTGTAGGTTAGAAACTTGGCCAACAAGTTAATCATGTATTGGTAGCTTATTGAACAAGTTAACTCCATATAATAGCATGTAAAAAAAACTAACTATGTGGTGCATAAATAGACAACTTGCCTTGCAAGTTAAGACATGTGGCTAGCAAAGTCAACCTATATTGGAGGTCCTATAGAATATTGCCACGTAGCTCTTAATTAGAGAGTATATATGGAGGCAAGACTGAAGCCTTTTTCACTCTTGTCAATGCCTTTTTAGTCATTAGTCTTGTTATAAGACTTTCTAGTCTCTTGGTTTTTAGCAATAGTCATTCTAATTCAATAATATATCATCTTGGAGTGACTTTTTAATTCTTTTCAGTGTCACAAGAATGTATTGAGGATTTTTTTCTTCAAGATTTGTGCCCTTGATACCTAGGTTAACAACCAATCATCTTTGGATATTAATTCTTGTCTTTTTCAAATAGATTTTGCTAAAATCTACTCTTAACTCCTTTCTACACATGTCTAAATCATTTAATTTTTCAATCTACTTTGTTTTGCCTTATTTATGATTCTACAAAGTAGAAGCCTATTTTACAAAAAAACAACATTAACACCTTTTAGTTTTGCAATCTTTTTAATTATTATCTATATTTCTAAGATGATTTGCTATAATATTTTAAAATAAGATCTTCTAAAATATAATATTTTTTTTATTTATTAGCTATATTATATTATAATAATATATTTAGAAATATTCTAATAAATTATTAACTATTCTTTAAAAAATATGATAAGTCCAAATCCTATTATAAGTCATGACTTTTATAGAATTATCAGCAACACTTAACCTTCTCTAGTCTACTATCAACATCTTATAGTACAATCCTAAATCCTAATGAAATCTTAAAGTCTAAATCAAATCTTAATAAAATCCTATAAAAGATTGAAACCTCAATTAATAATAATTCAACTATAGATTTTAATATAAACTTTATAGACCTCTTAATTACTTGATTGAAAACAAATAAAAATAATTTAAAGAAGATCAAACTTATCAAATAGAAAATAAATTTTATAATTTTTAATAATAGATTACTTAATGTCTGTTAAATAAGAATACTTGATACTAAAGAATTAGTCTAATTTAAGTCCACAACTTAATTTTTCTATCTACAATAATCTAAAGTTACTTCAATACATCAATCTATACTAACTTAATTATATCTCTATGACAAGATTGTTTTAATTTATAATAATCTTGATAAGATGTATAAATTCTAATCTATTAATTTGATTTTAGCACAACCTCAATTAGATAATCTTTGTTTCTTGACTTAATAAATTTTATTTTTTATAACTATTAATTTCATTAACGATATAAATCTTTATAAATAAGATTTTTTGATATATTTAGAATAGATTGTATCTTTTTGTCTTACAATATAGTGTATGCAGGATTAAAAAAAGCTAGTAAATTGATGCATGGATAGTTTAGAGGATATAATAGATGATTAGGAAGAAAAAGTAGTTAACATTGGATATATGATGTTTGGTATCTAGGAATAAGTATAAGTTATGAGTTTGGAGAAAGACAAGTAAGTAAAATAAGAGACTTATGAGAGATAGGATTACAAACATTTATATTTAACTATAAAAAAGAATCTATGGATATTCAATTCATAAAAGACCTTTAATATTTGAATTTTATATTCCTTTAACAAAATTCCTAAGGATGCTTGTGGAGAATTCATTTAAAAGTAAAGTGTCTCTATCAAATCCGATTACTAAAGATAAAAGAGAAGAAGAAGAATTTGATATACCATTAAGTATATTTTAAATATTTGTTGCGACATAATCTAGTAATGCCTTATCTTCAAATTTAAGTCCATTAATTTTGACTAGAGGTCATTTTAAAGTTTTTCAAAATCTTTTTTTTTGCTACCAATAGAAACTATAAAGTTGTTAGAAGATATAGATTATGAATGTATTTTTGGAAATATAGAGATTCTAATAGGAAAGAATAATACTCAAGTTTAAAAGAAGATAAAGGACATATTGGTAATTCCAATGGTAGCAGTAAGTCTAGTAGTACCAATTACAGTATAAATAGGAGCATTGGGAGATCGTACCACTAGCATGGCTTGATTACCAACTTTTAGTGAATGACCAAGTACTGATTCAAACTAGTATTTGTGTCAATTTTTGATCGCATGTATAGCCAATAATGGTAGAACTAAAGATATTTGATTACGATGCTGTCAATAATCTTAAAAGATACAACATTTGAATGATACAATCATCAACTAGTGGATCAATTTTTTAATTGAGAAGCATTAAAGAATGCATTTTTAATCCTTTTTTGCCCAATTAATTTTGTAGATTATCTATTAGAAAGACTAATTAAAATAAAATGATTCAAAGAGAGGCGATGGAATCCTACTATGGCCGTGTGGCAGATATGCTCTGTAAGTGGCTATATAACCTAATGCCGGAGCCTTTTGTGTTATCTATATTGATTAATAGATTGCATCCACCTGACCTCAAGATATTTGTCAAAGAAGCCTAACCAGATATAGTCGTTGTATGTCTTATTAGAGCCAAAGTATGGAAAGAATGTCATTGTGATCAATTTTTAACTATGGAAGGGACTATGATTTGAGCTCAAAGAAGTTATCTAGTCTCAGAATGGAATAGAATTGCAAGTGGTTATTTCAAATTGATAACTACAAGTACCAATTTAATTACTAATATACATGGAATAATCAATGTTGTGTCATTGAAAGCCATACTGCTATCAATAGGAGTTCTATTTTTCTAATTTTCTTCTTATCAATAGCCACTAGTAGCTACAATTGATTTGCTTATAATTTTAGATTCAAAAGATATAAATGAAATTTTTTTATTAAACTTGATTAAAAAAATAGAATAATTGGTAGTTAATATGGCTAAAAATAAATCAAAGCAACAGAAATCGACCAATACAAGGCCTAATATATGGTTGAGTAATTATAAGGACAAAGGCCATTTGATGACCAAATATTCTTTGCCACTACAAATAACTGTGCAATGTATATTTTGTAAAGGAAAATATTTAA